ATAGTGATTGAGGCTCTCTCTTCAAGGATGTGATGTAGGGTGGATTTGCACCTCACTACCAAGTTTCATGGAGAAACTTTGGTACCAAGTTTCTCCATATTTCTGTCTCTCTCTTCTCTCTCTCTCTCTTCCTCTCTCTATATTATATATTATATATATATATATATAATATATTATATATCATATAATATATATACTATATATATATATATATTATACTGTACTTACTACTATATAATGTTTTTCTAAGGTGACACCTTAGATTCCCACCTAAGGACGCGGCCTAAAGTCACATCATTTCCTAAATTTTTTTAGCGATCCGCTCCGTTGATCTTGATCTACACGTTCTTAAACCCAAACACATCAAATTTGGGGTGAACCTGTCGTGTTTTGACCCTTCGTTGAGCTGTGCAAAAAGTTCTATTCATTCGAAACCGTTAAAATTGCGGTGTGTTGATGAAGGGTCAAAACAGGACGGGTTCACCCTAAAATTGGTGTGTTTGGGTTTAAGAATGTGTAGATCAAAATCAACGAAGCGGATTGTAAAAAAAATTAGGGAATGATGTGATTTTAGGCCGCGTCCTTAGGTGGGAATCTAAGGTGTCACCTTAGTAAAAGTACGAGTTCAGGAAAATCTTTCTATGGTCAATATTACCCTTAGAATTTTTGAATATTACATTGTTATCCTAATCTATTCTAATTAACATATCTTCTTTGAATTAGTAACCAAATGATTTATTCTATTCATAATGAGACTTAACATGTTATTGGATAAAATAGATATGTTTTATATAATTCAAATCATTATTTATTTTAATTCATAGAGAAATCTAAAAAACAATGCTAGCCAACACCTAAAAATTTTTGGACTTTGTAAAAAATATTCTCCAAGTTTTTAAATTACAAAAACACCCCTACAAATTCAAAATTTTATTAAAACATCTTAAAAATTATATATTTTACTTATTCAATCCAGTGAGAAATCTAAAAAATATATGCTAACTAGAAACTGAAAGTTTTTTGACTTTGAAGAAAATATCATGTAACTTTTAAAAATTACAAAAACACTCCAAAAAATTTAAAATTTATAAAACACTCCTTGAAAATGTCAAACTTATAAACATACTAAAAACCTACAAATTACACAAACAACCCCCAAATTGTATAGAATTTGCAATACACACTCTAAACTTTTTACAAATTACAAAATAAAATTCTCAAAATTATAAAATTTACAAAAAATCCTGATAATTTCTGGCCTAACAGTACATTAAAAATATAGGAATTATAAATATTCCCTACATAACTTATAATTTATAGAAAAACACCCTTAAAGTTTTAAAAATTACAAACAAACATTTAAAATTTAAAATTTTAAAAAACACCCTAAAAATTTCAAATTCATTAGTAAATTGAAAGCATATGAAGTATTAATGGTCTATAAACAATTTATAATCTGTAGAAAAAACCTATAAATTTAAAAAATTATGAAAAGTCCTTAAAATTCATAATTTACAAAAAAAAACTCCATGAGAATTTCTAACCTATATATACTAAAATGAATATGCAAAATTACTAACAACCCCTAGAAAATTAAAATTTTGTAAAAAATATCATACACCTTTTAAAAGTATAGGTTTACGAAAAACTTTTCATGGTAAATATTACCCATAATTTTTTTGAAAATAACATAACTAATTGAAAATCTATTAAATTTAAAATTTATAAAAAATAACCTTAAAGTTTAGCATATTGCAAATTACCCATCCAAAGTTTGAAAATTTTCTATGATTTTTTTTTTATAATTTCTTGATTTTAATGTAATATTTAATAGTTTTGTGTATTTGTAAATTATAAATTTTATAGTGTTTTTTTACACTTTTTAAAACTTTTGAGGGTGTCTATTTTGTAGTTTTCTAAATTTTTATTGTGTTTTCATTGTAATGCACATATACATCAACTAATGATGATATTAAAAAATAAGTCGTTCTTAAGATTATTAGACCATAGTTAAGTGTGCACATCACTATTTCTAGGTAGTATAGTTTATATATGCAAATTTTTCAGACAATCTATGTAGTGGTTAAAAAGATTTTGATTTTAATATACTATTTTTTTGCAAATTATATTTAATGTGAACCCACCATATAATTTTGACTGTGGTTATTATAATTTTAATACGTTTGATTAATTTACTATATACATATATAGACGATAGATTACTTTACTTTCTCACATGAGTTAACATTTGGTGCTTAATAATTTAAATTATTACTTTTAAATTCAATATAAAGGGAGCTCTAATAACATTTATTTATTTACATACAGCATAATACAATCTCAATTCATATTTTTTGCTAGATATTTATTCCATAGTTACACATATCAAATTAGTAACTAAAATAATAATTATTTATGCTTAAATTATGATGATTGTAGTTGATCACTCACTATAAAATTTTTATGAAAATATATACCTTACTTTCTATAGCTATCTGTATTGTCCATGTATATTTTATAAATTAGTTCTTAATTTAACATATTAAATTACTATTCCTTTGTAGAAATTTTTTCTTTGATTTTTAGACTATGTAATCACTATATCACCATTCTAGCATAGAAAGGACCTTCCTCTAAATGGTTTTAAGCCAATCTTTGAGTTTTACTGAAGTATATATTATTGTTATTATGTATATATATATTTTTTTAAGAAAGTCATTTCAACACTTTTTAAATAGAAGAGAATATTGTAACCTCTGATATTATAAAAATTAAATATAGCTAATTGAATGATTAGCGAAAGAGAACTTACATCAGGAAAATGTGAATAATAAGATAAATAGGATAGGTAATGACATTACCAACAGTACTACAAATAGCAAACTACAATGTAAAGTTAACCTATTTTGTGGAGCCCAACTACTGGCTATAAGCAACAAGGTTTTCATATATATACTTTATAATTTATTAAAAATGATCATATAATCTTATATAATAAAATTGATTTAATATTAAATAGTAATATCATTATAATAATATCATTATTAGAAAAAATTCTTCATGAATCGGTATGATTTTTACGATATATAAGCTATGCACTCTAAATTATCGTGTCTTTTATAGAGCCAAAATTTTTAAATACGAGCCATTAACATGTTGCTCTTACAACAGCAAAATCTACTTAGGAGATATGAATATTCTAGATGAGTTATGTATCCTATATATAATACAATTGTCCTTGGTAAGTGAGTTATAATAGCATTTTTTATTCACATCGTTTGGGGTAATATTTGATAGGGACATTGCATCAAAGAAAAAAGAAATTTTTATATTTAGATCTCATGACGAAATATATCATAATCTCCCTGTTCTAATTTTGTAAGAAAATAATTATTCATACTTTTAGTTTTACTTCTATGATACAGAGAATGAGCTATAAAATTGAATAAAAATATTAGATAATATAAATATGAGCGAAATATCAACTAAAAGTTAACATGAATATGAGTCAAATCATAACTAAAAGTTTAATGAACATATTGCAAGTAAATTCATATGCAAAATTCTTCTGCGAATTGAATGATCATCCATCTTTTGAAGACTTCAACGGGATTCTAGCTCCCAAAACCAAAGAAAACGTGCTCTCCCCTCCTAAGACTTTTTCAACGGGCTTTTTGCCCCCAAAAACTCAAGCGATTTTCTTCTAGCCCCCAAAACACCCCCCACGTGATATGATGTTTAAAACCAACATAAATCTTCCCAAAATACCATTTGTTTCCCTTTTTTATTTGTGCAGAGGAGAGAGCTGGACCCCGCCACCTTCCCCCACCTAGACCCCGCCAAGTACACCGCCCACGACCGCTCCCCCGCCCCCGGCGGCGCCATCGCGACCTTCGAGGGCACGACCTGCGACACCTTCAACGGCCACCACGTGGTCGAGCTCCGCTAAGAGTCCTACGTTCACATGGCCCTCCTCCAGCTCTGATCCATCGTTGCCTGCTCGAGATCGGCCTGGTCCCTCGAATGTGGTGCCGTCTCCCACCACCTCGGCACCATCCCATCGGCGAGGCCAGCATGTTCGTCACGGCATCAGCTGTCCACAGGTCCGACGCGATCGAGGCGTGCCAATTTGTGATCGAACGAGGTGAAGGCATCGGTGCCGATCTGGAAGAAGGAGGTTTACGAGAATGGGTAGTTTTGGAAGGAGAACAGGGAGTTCTTCTAGAGGGATCACGGTAAGCTAAAGTGTGGGTGCGGGAACAATATAAGAGTGGCGGAGGGGTAATAAGTACTGAAGGCAATAAGGAACGAATTTTCGTTTTGAATTTTCTTTTTTTTTTACCTTGAAATTTGTACTGAGGAGATGGGGGTATCGAAGAAGTCCTAACGGCTTATAATTAGTGGGTGGTTCTTGAATTTTGGGCTAAATTTATGTAAATATAGCTAAATTTTGAGCTAATTGGCTTATAATTAGTTGCAATGGTGGAATATCAATGGGTGGTTCTTGAAACTTCTGTCGGATTACGTTAATATGAAGGTTACGTGTTTGTTGTTAAGGTTACGTGTTTGTTGTTAAGGTTATACGAGTTGCTTGTTAAGATTACGGGTGGCTTGTTAAGGTTACAGGTTGCTTGTTAAGATTACGCGTTTGTTGTTAAGCTTACGCGTTTGTTGTTAAGTTTACGAGTTTCTTGTTAAGGTTATACAAGTTGCTTGTGAAGATTACAGGTTGCTTGTTAAGGTTACGTGTTTGGTGTTAAGGTTACGTGTTTGTTGTTAAGGTTACACGTTGGTTGTTAAGGTTACGTGTTTGTAAATATAGCTAAATTTTGGGCTACTTGGCTTATAATTAGTTGCAATGGTGGAATATCAGTAGGTGGTTCTTGAAACTTCTATCAGATTTCGTTAATATGAAGGTTACACATAACAAACAACACGTAACCTTAACAACAAACGCGTAACCTTAACAACAAACGGGTAACCTTAACAAGCAACCTGTGATCTTAACAAGCAACTCGTATAACCTTAACAAGAAACGCGTAAACTTAACAACCAACGCGTAACCTTAACAACAAACGTGTAATCTTAGCAAACAACCCGTAATCTTAACAAACAACTCGTATAACCTTAACAACAAACGCGTAACCTTTACAACAAACGTGTAATCGACAAAAGTTTCAAGAACCACCCACTGATATTCCACCATTGCAACTAATTATAAGTCAATTAGCCCAAAATTTAGCCATATTTATATATAATTTCTTGATTATTCCTAGCCAAAAATCAAAAAGATGTTTCAGAGGAGAGGGAGATTTCGCAAGCTGTTCAACTCGTCGAAATTATTAAGCAACAAGTTCAAGAAGCTGTTTGGGGATGCGTGTCTGAGGCAGGATTCTATAAAGTCATTGCTGATCTCGTGCTTCGATTTGTTGACGGGGTCAGCGTTCATGTTCTCGAGGTCCGACATCGTGGAATCCGATGGCTTTAATTTCCACATCAAGGACATCTGTGTCGCGACCTGCGCCGCGGATCGAGCGACAGAGGTGAAGTCGGTGGATAGAAGGACCTGGATGAAAGCGATGGGAGGAGGGATTGGGATGGGAAATCCGACGGCGGCTGCAATCACGCACGTGCTTACTAATAAGAGGGAGTTTCCCTTCGTCGATGGGGCGGAGGATCGGTTGGTGGTGTCCCTGGGGAGCTCCAAGACGCTGAATCTTTGCTGCGGGGAGGTTAAATCGACAGCGAAGGTTGCGAGGATTGCTGGCGAAGGAACGATCGACGCTGTGGATCAATCAGCAACGAAGGTAGGAGGGAGAGCGGAGGGATTGCATGGTTAGAGAGAGAGAGAATGAGTATTATAGTTTTTACCTGTGTAAAATTCTTGGATTTTGTGTTTTTGGGGCTCAATGAATAATTAGTTTACTTTTGGGGGCAAAGAGCCTGTTGAAAAAATCTTGACAGGGGGAACACGTTTTCTTTGATTTTGGGGCTGAAAGCATTTTTTCCCATATATATATTGCTGCAAATAAAGTTTCATGTATCAAATATGCTCATTGATGAGACAAGAAAACAACCACAAGTCCCATTATTAGCATATGATCAACATGTGGCTCCACTACCGCCGTTAGAAAATCATCTCCTAGTGTAATCCCTTACTCGCTCCCTGTTGACATGAATTCAACTTGATTAGTTATTCACATTAATAAACTCTTGGTGTTATATAGATTCGAACTTCAGATTCATAACAGTATTTCTCATGATTCCTCCAAAACCTCTATGATGTATCACCCAAAGAAGTAGAGATGTATAAATGTTCATCAACATTATAAACATGGATTATTTGCATATATACCCCTTGAATCATGGGTATCTGCAAAACTATCCGCCAAATCATATTTACTTGCAAAACTACCCTCCAAATCAACAACTTTGGGCCTCCGCTGCCCTAAAGTTGATAAATCATCAACTTGTGAGTATGACTTATTTTGTGATAGTTTTTACATTAAACAGTTACAAATTAGCCTATCAAAGTTGATGACTAATTGATTTGATGGTTTTTTTCCTTCCAAAATTGATAATTTGAGGGGTAATTTCACAAATACTGAGATAGAGGGGGTAGTCTTGTTAAAAAGATAGAGGGGGCAATTTCACAAAAACCCCCTAGAATGTTTATAGGGTACGTATGCAAATAACCCTATAAACATTTAGAAACTTCCCTTACCAATTGACCCATTATCCACGTCCATAATCTTGTGCTCTGATTTCTTGTGTGATCCATCAATCTTATTAACAAGAATCTCCTACTCTCACTCTAGTTTTTCCCTAGGAACTCCACAAGCCTTTAGGAATCTAAAACCAAGGAGTCCTCTCTTTTACCTTTGGCCCAACACATCTAGATCCTTCCCATCTCCCAAAACCCACATCTTCTGCATAAAATGTGTACAAAAATGTATAATTACACATTATTTAAATACATCATTAAGTCACATAGGAAGTGTTGGCTTAATTAACATACCTTTCGAAGGATCTTGCATGGTGCTTTGCTACTTTTTGTCCATGATATAGGACAAATTTTGAAAACCAACCCATTTCCAAACTTATTCATAAAAAAACGACCTATTTAAAACTTATTTGCCAAAAGCGACGCAGTTTCAGCCAACTAGCTGAAACTGGGTCGTTTTTTGTATAAAAAAAATACCAAACTTCACGGGACTTCAAGTCCCCTGAAGTTTTTTACCTAACAAAACTTCATGGGACTTGAACTCCCATGAAGTTTGGTATTTTTTTCGTCAGTTTGCTTTTGGAAAATAAGTTTCAAAGATATCGTTTTTTAAAATTATTTTTGAAAGTGGGTTGTTTTTCAAAATTTGTCCCCATCATATACGCTTCTTTGCTACACTTGGAGTCATAAATGTCAACTTAATATACATACAACGTGGCTAAATTAAAAGTTTTTATCTTTAAAGATCTGAGAGCTGCATGCAATATGCGAATGAGATCACGTTATGTTTATTTAGCAATAGCCTTGATTAGAGAAACTCTTTAACTTCAAATTCGACTGCTAATCAGTACAATTTTGAGTATCATCATTAGGCTCTTGCTAATATCGAACCCAGCCCAATCTTAATGGGCCGTAGCCTTAGGCCTAAATTTATACTTGGCCCATCATTGTAATTTAAGCGGGCAAATCTTACGGCCCGCCATTTTAAACCAGCCCGCTGATTAACCCATCAAACCCGAAACTTGGGTTTTGGGCTCCGCTCCTTCCCCTTTGAATTCGATGCCAATTTCTTCACAATTTATCCCCAAATTTAGCTCGCTCCTCCGTCGTCAATCATGTCAATTGCAAGATCGAGATGTATCCTGATCTTTTCTTTATCCTCAATCTCAAAAGGTACAAACCCTAACCCTAATCCCCGAAATTACCGTAAATTCTCATCCGGTACACCTTCTGATGTGAACAACGGACTGATGCGAACTGAAAATCTTGATAAAGTTGCTCATTTTAAGTCAAAAATTGATGAAATTTGCCGAATTTTAGAAAATAGTGCTTTGGGTGATGACTTGGGGAGTGCCCTCTCTTCGATTCACGAGAAACCCAGTCCTCAAATTGTTGTAGGAGTTTTGAGAAGGGTGAAAGATTTGAACTTGGCTATGAATTATTTCAGATGGGTCGAAAATTTTAGTAAAGAACAGCATTGTTCAGGAGCGTACAATTCTTTGCTTATGGTGATCGCAAGAACTAGAAATTTTGATGTTTTAGAGAAGATATTGGAGGAGATGAGTGTTCTCGGATTCAAGCCATCGGATAAAGCTTGTTTGGAGATGGTTGAGAGTTTAGTAAAGGATGGGAAGCTGAAAGAAGGTGTTAATGTGGTTGAAATGATGGAGAAATTTAAGTTTCGGCCTGCATATTGGGCTTACACTACTCTGATCGCGGCCCTTACTGATGCTAGTGAACTCGATGCGGCCCGCAAATTGTTTCAGAAGATGCAGGATTTGGACTATCAAGTGAATGTGCAATTGTTCACGACTTTGGTTCTAGGGTTTGCTAAAGAAGGTGAGCTTGCGTTGGCACTTTCCTTATTGAACGAGTTGAAGAGTAGTTCATTTGCTTCAGGTATTGTTCTCTACAATGTTTGTATTGATTGTTTTGGAAAAGTGGGAAAGGTTGATATGGCTTTGAAATTCTTTCATGACATGAGAACACAAGGGATTAACCCGGATGATTTTACATATTCTCGCATCATTGGATTTCTTTGCAAGGCTAATAGATTAAATGCAGCTGAAGACTTGTTCGAGCAAATGATACTAGAGAGGGAAGTCCCTTGTGCTCATGCTTACAATATAATGATTATGGGCTATGGTTCAGCTGGCAAGTTTGATCAGGCTTATCGGTTATTAGAGAAGTTTAGAGAAAAGGGATACACTCCAAGTGTTATTACATATAATTCTCTCCTTAATTGCCTTGGCAAAAAGAGGAGAGTGGATGACGCTCTTAAGGTTTTTGAGGAGATGAAAAAAGATGCAGAACCTAATGCTACAACCTATAACATCATTATTAGTATGCTTTGTATGGAAGGTAGATTAGAAGATGCCTCTCGAATTAGAGATATAATGCAAAGTGCTGGCTCATTTCCCAACCAAAATACAGTGAACATGATGGTTGATAGGTTTTGTAAGGCTCAGAAGCTAGACGGAGCTCATAGTATATTCGATGATGTTACATATAGGTATCTAATTGATGGATTTGGAAAGAAAGGGAGGGTTCATGAGGCCTACAGTCTGTATAAAGAAATGTTGGATGCTGGCCATAGCCCTAATGCCATTATCTATACTTCTTTGATCAGAAATTTCTTCAAGCATGGTAGAAATGAAGATGGACATAAGATCTTTGAAGAAATGAAACATAGAGGTTGTCCTCCAGATCTCACCCTTTTGAACACTTACATGGATTGTGTTTTCAAGGCTGGTGAGATAGAAAAAGGGCAAAGTTTATTTGAGGATATAAAAGTTCATGGTTTCTCCCCTAATGTACATAGTTATTCTATACTGATTCATGGACTCATAAAATCTGGTCAACTTCAAGATATGTACAAGCTATTTTGTGCAATGAAAGAACAAGGTCTTGCACTTGATTCCTTGGCCTATAACACAGTCATTGATGGGTTCTGCAAGTTAAGCCAGGTGGATAAAGCTTATGAGCTTTTCGTGGAGATGAAATCAAAGGGATGTGACCCCTCTATTGTTACATATGGATCTGTTATTGATGGGCTTGCGAAAATTGACAGGCTTGAAGAGGCTTACATACTTTTTGAAGAAGCAAAATCAAAAGGAATCGAGATAAATTTACCATTGTATGGTAGTCTTGTTGATGGGTTTGCGAAAGTGGGGAGGATTGATGAAGCGTATTTAATCATGGAAGAGTTGATGCAAAAGGGTTTAACTCCAACCTTGTACACATGGAATTGCTTAATCCATGCTCTAGTGAAGGCAAAGGAGATCGATGAAGCTCTTGTCTGCTTTCAGTCGATGAAAGAGATGAGTTGTGCAGCTAACACCTTTACTTACTGTATTCTTATTAATGGCCTCTGTCGAGTTCAGAAGTACAACAAAGCTTTTTTCCTTTGGCAAGAAATGCAGAAACTAGGTTTAGTTCCCAGTGATATTACATACACTACTATGATCTCAGGCCTTTCAAAGGCAGGGAATATTGCTGAAGCAAATAGCCTTTTTGAGAAGTTTAAAGCGAGTGGAGGTATATCTGACTTAGTTCGTTTTGATGCTCTTATAGAAGGCATGAGTAATGCTAATCGCGCAATCGATGCATATAGGATATTTGAAGAGACTCGACTTAGGGGTTGTAAGATTAACGCCAAGACTTGTTCAATTCTTCTTAATGCACTACAAGAGTCAGAGTGCCCTGAACAAGCTGCTACCATCGGAGCTTTTTTAAGGGAGATGGAAGAGTCACAGCATGCTGCTAGATCCTTGTAAATTACGAAGAACAGAGTGGGTAAACGTTTAACTTATGATGTGGAAATGGGTGGCTCTTCTTTTTGAAGAGTGTGCGGCATACGTGAGACTTGACGGTGTTACTTTGGGGGATTTAAGTGAAAAATCTTCAAGGGGCTTACTGAAAAACAAGTTCAAGGGGTTATTTTAAAAACCCCTCCAGCTGTGCGCGCGCGCGGAATTAACTTAAAGGACTCAAAAATTTGCATCTACAATCAGTTGATGCTTGCTGTTATATGATTCTTGGAGAGCTGTGTGCTGCACCTTGTGGTCTCAGAGCATTAGTTGATTTCATTGAATCCAAGTTTCATCCCTACTAAGGTATGCCACCTTCCTAACAACTTGCTTGGCTGAACTTAGTGCAACGTGATTAATATGTTCTCTCGATATTATAATCTGGTATAGATTTTGTAGTGTTAAAGTAGCTGCTGATGTACTTTTTCAATCTACGTTATTCTGTTCTTTTCTGAAATCTGAGGATTCTTCTAATGTTCATTTGTCAAGCTGTCTGTCCTAGGTTTCTCATTCTGACATGTTTCATTACTTGTTTCATGAGGCCGCACATAAATAATAAATTGTTTATGCTCAACATAAAAAGAGTTAAGTTTAAGAAAAATTTAGATTATCCCATCCTTTTTTTTTCTTTTTTTTTCTTTTTTTTCTTTTTTTTCTTTTTTTTCTTTTTTCTTTTAATCTTTCAAGAAAAATGTTTTTTTATTAATTTATTAAAATTAAAGAGGTTATTATAAGTTCCCAACTATAACTAAACTAATTCAATCCAACAACAGGGATTTCTAGTGAAAAATGTGAGTTCTTGTTAAACATAGAAATTGCTTCAATTCTGCTTCTACTCTACTTCTACTCTATATATCGTATTCTATATTTTCATTTATTTAGATATATATTATTGCATTTTTTTCCAAAGGAAAGAAACCTTGCACCTAAAATAATTCACTCAATTATAAATTACGCGAAGGCAAAATTTTAATGTGTGTGCTTATTATTACATTGGAAACCCCAAAAAAGATACAAGGAAACTCTATATTCATAAAACTAAGAGGTTAAGAAAAGAATTATCAGGTGGTTGTTTGTGTTATAACAAAAGAAGAGGGAAATGACTGATTCGCGATGGAATTATACCCAGTTCCGAAGCACATGTCAATGTAAGATAGCAATTAGGATGCATTACAAAGTTTTATTTATCCATATTAGAAGATTGACTGATGAAGTGTAAACCAAGGTCCTAGCAATTCAATCTGCTATCCACCTTAACGAAAATGCTATCATGTTCTTCTTATAATTTTCAGCTGTGAATTTTATGTATTTTCTCTATGCATTGGGTATTAATATGGTTAATTACGAAAAAAACCATTGTAGTATCACCCAATTACGAATAGACCACTGTAGTTCTACTTTTGTGAATAGACCCCCTGACTTAATATAAACATAGTTCTGTTGGTGAGGATAGACCCCCAACGTTTTTTGTTTATTTATTAAAAGAGTCGAAAAAGTTCGCTAAGCGGGTGTATTCACACATGGGCCAATACTACAGGGGTCTATTCGCAATTGAGTGATGCTACAGGGGGTCTATTCACAATTAACAATATTAATAAGGGAAAAGGAAAATAAAACTGTCATACTTGACATCCTAGGAGTAAATTCTGTGATGTTTCTCATGATTGATCTCAGGTTTTCATTCGTGAAATTAATAGTGGCATGCACGCCGAAACATTTTGAATGATAACTTTAAAAAAAGGTACATACCATAAAAATATAAGTTTCAACTTTTCTTCTGAATCCCTGATATCTATTTCCTTGAGCACCATATATCCTGATAAGGATAGACCCCCAACGTTTTTTGTTTATTTATTAAAAGAGTCGAAAAAGTTCGCTAAGCGGGTGTATTCACACATGGGCCAATACTACAGGGGTCTATTCGCAATTGAGTGATGCTACAGGGGGTCTATTCACAATTAACAATATTAATAAGGGAAAAGGAAAATAAAACTGTCATACTTGACATCCTAGGAGTAAATTCTGTGATGTTTCTCATGATTGATCTCAGGTTTTCATTCGTGAAATTAATAGTGGCATGCACGCCGAAACATTTTGAATGATAACTTTAAAAAAAGGTACATACCATAAAAATATAAGTTTCAACTTTTCTTCTGAATCCCTGATATCTATTTCCTTGAGCACCATATATCCTGATATCTACTTTACAGTACCTTTGGAGGCCTGAGAAGTATATGTCCTGATATCTAATAGTTTGGACAGGTCAAACAAAAGAATTTGACATACAATGCAACTTACTGTTGAATTTCTCTGGGAAATAACATAAGTTGAATAGCCTTATGCATGGCTGCTGTTGATGGCACAATTGTTGCTTGCAGAAAAGCTAGGCAGCTTTTTAGAGGCCAAATTGGGAATTTTGAGGCGGCATGGTGAGATTTCTGTGGAGCGCAGAGTATGTATCTCTATTCCTGTCCCCTTCTTCTTCTTCTTTTTTTAATAATTTTTTTATTGGACGTTGGTAGATTTCTATTTATATCTACCTTGGCTGAGCAGATACAAATTCAAATCAAGCTGTGGATGCTGGACAAGCCATATAAGCTTATAAGTATTAGCAGATACATATGTGCATGTATCGAAGTCTAAACGTTAAGCCTGAATTTGTTGAAGAGGAGATCATTTGTGGTACGGTTACCTCGGTTATGAAATATGTATGAATTGGACGGTGTAATCACACGATGTTGACCTATAAATGTTTGTATGTACAAAAACTAAAATATTAATGCATGTGAATTGTGAAGTGAAGTTTTTCCATATAAAGGTTCAAGGGACCGCTACTAGTATGTGTGAGATCTGGACTGGGATATTTTTGGGGTTAGATCTATGAATGCTACAGTATGCATCATGTTGCAGTGTTGTTATTTTAAAATAGGAAATGAATTCTGGTTGGGTTTTATCCTATATATTCAGTAATTTGTCCACAAAATTACATTCACTAATATATTTTTTTATGCTAGTATACGCTTCTGTCGAAATAGAGAAAAATCTTGGGAAAAGAAAAAAAAGAAAGGGAAAGCGCCCAAAGAAAGAATATGGAAAGTCATGAAATAGAGCAATCATACTAAATCTTGTTATTCTATACGCATACGATGTACAATACATGGGTTTGCGAAGAATTAAGAAAACACAAATAACCCACCTTGTTATGGTATTATCTTATTCATCGCTGTCTGTGCAAAACCAGCTTCACAAATGCAAGCATAGATTTATAAACTGATAACTCACAAATGCTTGCATAATAATTAAGGAAAAGACAGTAGTAAATAAGAGAGTAATATACGGGGTAAAACTGAGATAATAACATGATATATGTTTTATTACACATTTTTTTTCAAATTAATTTTGTATCATCTACTATGCTATCAAACTTTTAGCTCCCACCCAATCACCTTCGTGCAAATTGGAGGGTGAAGAGAATATCTCAAGCGACCATTCAATGAAGGGATCTCCAATTGCACATTCAATGGATGAAAGCCTTCAAGATCATACAACTACAATGATACAAGGGACCACAAAGTTGAAGAAGGCCAAACAACACTTGGGAAAGCACATAAACCCCATAAATAGAACAAACTGAAACCAAAAGAAAGAGAACTATCGGGGGGCTTTCTTTCGGCTAAGAATCTCTTGCTCCTTGAGGCGATGCTGAAATCTTGCTAATCGTGCTTGGAGGCTGACGAGTCCTGCAGCCTTTCTTGAGAGTAGGAAACTTAGCTGAGTCACATAGTTATCGATGAGGCTGCCCGGTTGATCCACCTCTGCCAACAAATTCATCTCCTGTGCGAAAATAGAGGTTATGTTGTGGGAGTCAGCAAGAGGCAACGAAAATCTAATTAACTTGCTGAGGATGGAACAAAAATTGGTAATAAGAAAGTCGAAAGTAGCTCACATATTATAGGCTTTTGTATAAATGAACCAAGGAAATTTTGCATTAAACTGAGAAAAAGTATTTTATTTCATATAAAGATTGCTGATAATAATTTCCAGAATCCAGGAGGCAGCATATAAAGATGTATTATACTTGTAACTCTAAACTCGTCTTAGAGTCCCTAACCATTATACCAAAAGTTCAAAGTTGTGTTGAGGGGTGAGGGTTACATTTTTATATTCTAATAAGATGTATACCCTTAAAAATTACATTGCTGATGCAGGTAACACACTAAGCAAGTAAACCTCATCTGCAAGATATTAGCCAGAGGGTTTACAATAAATTACCATTCAGTAATCCATGATAAAGAGTAATATAGATGAAAATTGGTATTCAGATGACGTTGTCTGGATCCTTGGATAAATCTGGATGATTTTTTACAAATCATATTTTCATGCTCGTTCAACTAAGGGACATTGCTGAATTCAACTAATTCAGGGTAAAGGACTTCTCCTAAATGAACACTGAAGTTAGGGTTCATGCTATGGTCTTCCATTATCAATACAAGCAAGCCGAGATTTATTTTCCATTTCAGTGTTCTAGCAGAGAATATATGTATTAGACCCCACAATGAAATTTGCGGTTGTACGATTTAACCCATGAAAGAAGATCATAGCTTTTGGAATTTAAGCACCAGAGAAATTTTCAAGTATCTGGAGATCCTCAATGTAGAAGTGTAGAACCCATTTCTACAGTTAAGATAAGAAAACTTTTTACATATTCCCCGGGCTGTGACACATTAAGATCTTGATTCATGCAAGAACCCAATCCCACTCAGATGTCGGAGAATTTAAGTTCAAAGAATCTAGAATATGTTACCTTCTAGCAGAGAATATATGTATTAGACCCCACAATGTAGAAGTGTAGAACCCATTTCTACAGTTAAGATCAGAAAACTTCTTACATATTCCCCGGGCTGTGACACATTAAGATATTGATTCATGCTAGAACCCAATCCCACTCAGATGTTGGAGAATTTAAGTTCAAAGAATCTAGAATATGTTACCTTCTTTTGGGTTCTCCTAATTAGCCAATATATTAAATTTGAAAAGAGATATTCCTATGACTAGAATCAGAGTTTAGCAAAGGGAAAAAAACCTTAGTATATTGCTTGAACATGGAAAATATGATTAGTTAGAAGGCCAGCATCAAAATCATGCAAGAGACATTGAAGAAGGTAAAAAGAGGAAATACTAAAAGGAGGTCTAGCTATCAATGAATGTCAAGCAGTTCATTTAATAACTTCCACCATACAAGAAGAAAGTTATCACAAGCAGCACTAAAAGAAGGCTGGAATTACAACTGACCTCTCGTACTATCTCCATCGTATTTTCAATTTCTTTTCTATGAGCTGATATTAATGCTTCTTCTTCCTACAATAATAAAGAACACAAGGAACTCCAAATGAAATGACTGGAATATCTAATAAGTCAGTTACAAAAGACTGAAAAGAATAATAACATTTCAGACCTCTAGTATGGCATTGATTTCATTATCATTGCATGGAGCCTCCTGCTCATATTGCCTTGACGTGATGTTCAAAGCAGGTTCATAACTTTGTTGATTTTTATGACTTGTGGTCGGCAATTCAGACCCACTGTCTTTCCGTGCCCAACTTTGTCTTTCAGGTTTTTCTTCTCTCGGAACTTTTCTACGAGGTGGGGATACCTTGGGTACTTTTTCTTCATCTTGGTTGTTGAATGCATTCCGAGCAGAGGAATATGATTTATGACTAGATGGAATACTATAATTGTTTTTCATGTCAACCCTTTCCCTTTCAACTGCACTAAATGTAGGCGCAGGTTCTTCCTTTCCATTATAGGTGTTATTGTTTCTATCCGTCTCCAATGAAGAACTGTAAGAAAAATTCTCGTTATTTCTTCTGGCAATATCTACTGGTTTCACCATGGTGGTTTTGTTAATAAGGTCGTCTGTTCAGGGCAGAAAGAAGGAAATGGACGGTTCCTTGGGTGGAGGAAATGAACCAGCGGCCTGGTCTTTCTTGGAGTTTCCACTCTTGGAAAGACTCTTAACCCTGTTCATAGCACCCAAAAAAAAAGAAGTGTTTATATTTTAAATCTCCCAAGAATACAGACTTCCATCTATATATTTCATAATGATCTTATCCTTACCTATCGGCATATCTCAAGGTATTAAGTGTATGTTCACAAGAGCCTGCACTGGGAGATATGCAAGATATCATAACAGTCCTTGAATTGCCGACAAAAGAGTCACGAAGCACCTCTGTCAGTTTGCTCCCTCGAAATGGGATATGTATCTGATCATTGTCTAATGCACGGATACACTCCTTAAGGGCCAAAAGACTCTTGTTTATCTCAGCTCCTTCAATCCTGAAGCAACAATAACAGACATATACGTCATCTGACATCATAAAAGAAACAAAGCTGTAAAAAGATAGTGTCGCCACCAAATATCACAGTAGCCAGCATCTCATATAAGAATATCTCTCCGATGCTGGACTTTTAAGAGATGCTTGGCACTTAAAAAATTACATATGAGATGTCAGAAGCATGTTACAGACTTAAAGTGAAAAAAAAAACTACCAAAAGTTACTAACCGTGTTTGACGATCGTTATCAGTTGTATCAGCGCCACGCTCACTTCCAGCAAGGTCAATGAAAGATATCTTCCCAATTAACTTGCCACCTTTCAAATCATTATCGTTATTATTCTTCCTTCTAGTGTCTTTCACCTCTTTTTGCTTCTTGATGGCAAGTTGCAAAATAGCATGTGATCTGGATGACTCTTCATTGGCTCCAGTGGAACCTGTACTTCGTGCTGAATTTCCTCTCTCGATATATTCTTTGACCACCTGCACATCTGATACCTCAAATTCTTGCAATCCAACAATACAGACTTGTTGTCTGCCGTCTTCCCTCATACAGAGCTTCCTGACAAAATTTAATGAAAATATCATATATAAGCAGGTTTTTTAAGCTAAATTTCGCGAACCTGTTTCTAGATTAATATATGTCATATGAGAAGACATACATATATGTTAAAGAGATTTTTACTACTAAAATTGTATGCATAATACATATTTACTATTAGACAGTTTACCTCATGAAATCAAGCAGATACTTTTTGGTACATTATTGAAAAGAGGGACAGAGGAGAATGAAAAGTTTCCTTAGGAAATAGTAAATTGGCTAAAAAGTGAAACAAGGACGACTCCAAAATGAGACAAGGACAGCAAAGCCAAACATAAAATTCTGAAAACATGACTTTGACAGCAGGAAATTACCTTTTAACCAAGTAAGCATCTAAAACCACCTAATCTGAGTGTGTGAGCTAGAGCCTAGATGAGAAGCTAACCGGTCATAAAACAAGCAGGCAAGCAACAGAAAATCCAACAGCTTTATGCACACAGGAAAACAAGTGATCATGGACCTACAGGCTATAATCAAGGTGACTGAATAAACATATAATGTCCATTTCATGTTTAGCAAATTTGTTATGACTTATAGAATATAATGATGGATCTACAGTTAATGTATATTGCGAGAATATGACAACAAGAATCAATCACTGGGAGAATATAAAGTTACAACTGACACCACAGATCTGAAAGAAATAGCTCCAGTAAACTACCACCTACCAAATGCATAATGAAGGGTGTTCATTCTCACAGAAAACTAGCATGACCCTCTGCAGAATTTATATTTAAATGAGAAACACAGAAAACTATCAAATATATTATTGGTTATAATGTACTGAAGGTTAGAAAAATCCACCTTCTATCACTAAGAAGGTCAAAAAGTTTTCCACCATAAATCTCAAAAAAACTAAGCCACAATTTGAATTTCTGATCATGGTAGACTGGCTGATGTAACAATCGGACAATGTCTTCAACAGCTCTGAGAGGTAAGGGTTGCATTGTATATGTCTTTCCACTACCTACAAATAAAAGAAACCACATGAAATGGTTATCTAACAAGTGACTTTTTAACGCCAAAAGATATGAGATTTATAGGATAAAAACAAGAAAGTGTTCGATCGACTCTTAACCAACAAGATATTACAATTGCGTATGAAATACAAAGAGCTTTCCCATTAAAAAATATTAAAATTTTATTATTATCGGATAATGGATGTTAGAATTCCATTAACTGTAGACAGTAGGTGTCGAGAAACGGCCAACAGATGAAGAGCTCAGCTACATTATATCAAACTAAGCAATAAGGAAATACAACATCTGCCAAAATATTTTCGACACTCTTCTGCAGAAAGGTTTCAAGACCATCACTAGTAGAATATAAGGGTAGCTGTGAAAAACTATGTGCCAATGCATGAGAAAGATAATGATGTTTCTTGTGTATGTAGTATGTACCCCTCATTTAAGCAATATTCATGCCTTAGATTTTAAAGGTATTGTAACATGTTCTTCAATTCAAAAAAGATTGTAACATGTTCTTTATAATACCTCTCAAATAATTTATTTCAAAGGAGAGTTTCAAGAGATAGGAGCTTGTTTTAGAGGTCATATTACCCTCATAGTTTACATACATGGCTAAGTGCATGCCACACTAAAGCTTTCACACAATTACGTTTGAACAGCCATGCATTCTACATTAATCTAGAGACAATGAAAGCTTTGATGTTAAAACAATAATGTTCAGAACAATCAAACTCATAAATAGAAGAACTATCTTGGATGTTAAAACAATAATGGAAAGCTTTAAGATAGTCGTCACCACTGCCAGAGAAAACATTCTCGAGTTATAACTTTAGTCGAATATGAGTTCTTATAAACATTGCAGGGCCTTATGAACTTGCGTATGGATGTTGCTCAAGCATACTTGTATCAGAATAGGAAACAAAAACTAACATTCAAAATCTTAAAAATCTTCTGCCAAATAATTTCAAATGAAACCAACGATTAAACTTGAACCAAAAAAATTAATCATGCCATTAATTAATCTACATGAAGAACTATTTCAGAGAGTACATTTTACTAGACCAGCAACACAACAATATGTGTGTTTAAAATAGATAAAAAATGATCCATTTTCATGTCTTTTATTAAATCCATGTTCATGTGTCTTTTACCTGTCTGTCCATATGCAAAACATGTGGCTTTTGTTCTCTGAAATATAGTTGGAATAATGGGCTGTACAGTCTGACGATATACCTGCTTGAACAAGTATAACCTTTAATACCAAAATTGAACACCAACCTTATATTATTTTTTGAAAAATAAACTATAAGGTGAAATTACTTACAAACATAAACAAACAATGTACTAAAATATTATATGATACCTCATCATTTGTAACATACTCGTCCAAAATAGCATCAAAACAAAACTCATGCTTCTCCACATATGCAGTCAAGTCCACCTGCCATATAAAAACTCCAGCTTCTTATTCAAAAAATTACAATTTATGGGATCCCACGTAACTTATGCTATCTTCACTTTCTTCCAATAATCACATTCTTATTAACTAGTTCCAGAAATAGTAATAGATGGTTGAGCAGCGGCTACATGTCAGAAACTAACTCCTATGAGTCCAGAGAAGGATTTTCTGTTGCTTATAAAAAAGAACTGCTTCACAAATAAAGCACTAAAGGGAAATTAATCGGTGATATTGGTAGGTATAAGCAGATCCAATGACTGAATAGTATTACCAAAGACAACTGAATGAAATGTTTTTTTATTAGCACTGCCACGTGTTGTGATGAATTGACAAAAAAACTATAACTAATGACAACCAAATGGCATCAACAGAAGCACAAGCTGAGCATAACTAGTTGTGAATATTATGGAATTCATTCATTCATAAACAAAAATAATTATTGATAAATAAATGTAAGTCAGAGCGTAAATGTTCATACCTTTAACTTAGGCTCATACACTGTTAAACATGCAGTATCATGTACAGTTACAATATCGTCCTCTTTACGAGACATCTCCTTCTTATTTAAAGGCCTTTTGCGCACCTGAAAGAAATATTTAAGAGAATAATAACTAAATTCCTACAATGATGCATTAGTATTATAAACAGCAATATTTTTATGCAAACGGTTAGAGATCACTATACGGATATAAGCTATGAACTAAAATAATTAACTTCATTTAATACTCCAAAGATTTCAACTTCAGCAGATCTGGCGCAGGAAAGACTGAATGTACAATGATAGGTTCTGTTCGCTGCCTAGATTTACGACTCTTCTGTTCAGGTATTGCATAAAGTGCATTAAATTATTCTCCAGAATTAACTAGGAAAAGATGCCCAGTAACTTTCTTAAAATTTAGAATATTAACCTATGCATTCAGATTTGAATGATGCTCCTAGATTTCACCTTCCATGAGAGAATGTGAATTATTTGTGATATGTAATAAAAGAATATCAAGCAAACTATTAGGACGATCTTGCTGTTACAACTGCGGCCTATGATTATTCCCTTTAAGCTATCATAGTAAGCAACAACAAGAACATAAATAATCAATAACAAAATGTCAAAGTGGTATTAAACCTTACAAGCTAAAGTGCCAAAATCAACTGAACCAAATCATATATCAAAAGCAGTTTCAATGTAAAAGTGAGCCGGATGTTAAGACGGAGACTACATTGCATGGCTACTTCTATTTGGAGCCATACCGGGTAACACCCATACCCAACAATGAAACTTCAGTTGACTCTTCTTGGATATTTGTACAGTTAAGCAAATGTGTACTCAATTATATAATACATGTTTCAATTTAAAATGTTCATCCTATAATTCTTGGACGTACATGCACACTTCACATGAAATTTGTAAAACTTGTTGGACATAAATTGGGTTCGTTTCAACTCATACCCTGATTGAAACTATGATTATAAAGGTTCTTCTGTGTATCAAGTTAAAAAATGAGCAATTTTCTATTTTTATAGATAAATACTATAAACAAAACATATAAATGTTATAGGAATTTTATTTCATAGAACGTGAAATGAAAAAAATACATTGATCTTGTGTAATTTATTACTACATATACGTGTATGTGTAGATGTCCCCTATCCTACCTTTTACAAATTTGCCATGTCCCATGCCCATAGCCATACGCATACCCGGATCTGTGTAGCTCAGAATGAAGACCATATGGTCAAGGGATAGGACTCAACTGAGAATACCAAAGGATACTATAGCCTGAGTTTGTGGCATTTGTATAACAGAAAGTCCCTAACTTTGCGCTCCTGTGCCCGACACTTTCACGTAAGCATCTATAGAAGGGAGAGGAGCAAGATGAAAAAACATGTGGTGAAGCATAATTTAGTTATAGCCTCGACTTAACCTAACATAAACTATTACTCATAAGCAACTAAACATTTGTCTTGCATGCACTTTTTGAGATAAGTGAGTGAAAACCACCTCCAAATTGCTTCTTGACTACTAACGTAATCCGAGATAAGTTAAAGAAGAATTTGCAATTGTTAAAATAGATCATAAGAAAGCATAAGCATCCCAGAGATATTATCATCCGTCTGTAGGTATCCAAAATTATAGTGTTAGTGTAACATACCACAACTTTTATCTTAGCCACATTGCTCTCTTTTACATTAGTCTCTTTGTCATTGGTTGGTAATTTGACACTGCCATCTATATGACCTTGTTGCCTGCTGGACATTGCGTCAAAGTCGTCATCAAAATCTCTAGTAGGCATGAAAGGTGATGGTTCAAATGGTTCTGTCATGACATGCTGCAGAGAGAAGATACATCAGAATTTATGACCAAGCCAGATAAGTATATTAAATGTAATAGCACAATTATTTTCAGTAACATTTTAGAAAATATTTCAATTTTCACTTATTCATATATTACTTTTTATATAGGAGAATAGCTTCTTCTGAATCTCTTCACAAATATAATTTCAACTAAAACAAGATCAGCAGTCTACCAAAACATCAGAGACGCATTCACAAATCCAACGTCAACACCTTACTAGATATCTTTTTGTCTTTTCTATTGTATGCATTAACATGTGTCCCTTAAGTGTTAACCAGCACATACTCACCGCTCCCCCCACCCCATAAACAAGACACAAAAGGGAAAGTTACAAAAGCTTTTGAAAAAACGGAGGCTATTCTATGTGTAATTGTGCATATGTGTTTTCTTCTCCTCTTTTCACCCTCTTTTTTTTGGGTCTGCTTCTGTGTGGTGGTGGTGCTGCTGCTGCTGCTGCCGCTGCAGTGTCGGACTTCAAATCTTAAATGAAGAATCACTTGAATCACAAAGGATCTTTTTATTATATTTGATGGTTATCACGGTTTCAGGTTTAACTCATGTTTATCAAATAGTTATATTATAAATCACTATGCTAGTTTTCCAGTCCAATAATTCAGATATCTAATGGAATTAAATTTCAAGGAACACAATTTGAAACAGTAATTTGATGACATGCTTGGATAAAGCTAAGCAAAATGCCAAGAATAGACAAAGATCCTGATGCTACATGTATAGTTCGGATATAACCATCCACGATGGGGAAAAAATGTTGCACAAGTATATGTCTGCATTTGAAAGTATATGCTTCAAATACATGTATAGTTCGGATGTGCTTCAAATACAGCAACAAAAGTATATGTCTGCATTTGAATCAATGTTCCCAATGTATAACATGATAATAGGTAAAAGAATAACTCAAATAATATCAAATTGTTATCTGCATAACAATTGTGTGTGCAGATACCATTGCTGTGGTCTACAATTTTAATCGCTTAATCTCATATGCATTTCTGAGATATAAAATTATAGACATTACCAAATTTTTGTTTTTTTGAAAAGAGCATATGGCAAGTGCCCATCAAGTACTTCTGGACATCTACAAAATAATCTATAAGATTCTTAATATTAATTGAGGACATAACTTACAGGTTGGTAACAAGTAGGGTAATTACCTATAACGTTAGAAGCATGAAACAAAACTAAATATTAATTAAGAAAATAAGTACATTTTACTTAAGGACATAATGCACAGGTTGGTCATAAGTAGAGTAATTCCCTAAAACTTCAATGGGAGTAAGAAACAAAATTAATTCATATCATATCATATCACGATACATATACCACAAAAGGAGTTCGCAGACAACTTTTTTGTGTTCACCATTATGGTGAATTTCTTGGATATGATACCTCAGAGAGAAGTTCAGTATCATCCACAGCATGAAGATCAAGAAGCCCAGCCCCAAATTCCCCTCTTAGGTCGGGCGAGTAAAAGCCATCCGCTGCACCAGAAGGTCCAAAACTTTGGGAAGTTGGAGTATATGGCTCTGAGGCAGACTCTCCGTTAAAGTTCAAATTCCTGAAAAGTTTAAAGAGCTTCTGCTTCTCTTCTACAGATTGACCTCCGTAGCCCTGCAAATAACAACATAAAAACGAATAATCAAATAAATAAAGTTAATAAACAATCAAGACTCGTGTTAAAAGCTGGAAACATGGAATTGGAGAAACTAAAGAACAAATAAAATTATTTTGAGCATGTCAAAATAATATATAGTTCTCACGGCTGAGAATAATAAAAACTGTACGTCCAGAACCAAAAACCTCCAATGCAGGAGTAAATAATAACTGGCGATAACGAATAATGCTTTAACATACCAATCTAATTGAAAATTCTTATGCTTGAAAGTCTTTACTGGCATCATACAACTACATTGTTCTTAATTACCCTGATTCCTTGTGTATTCAAGCAGCAAAGACGAACCCAATCTTGAGTTAATGTCCTATCAGAAAATATCTAGTCCTAATACATCAATTACGTCTAAATCATAGTATGAGGCTTGAAGCAAAGCATAATATTTATCATAAAACACCGAAAGCTTCAATTTAAGAAACGGGTAATCAAATATCATCAGCATTTCACTAAACAAACCAGATACTGCATCAAACTGTGCCATTTATGTTTGAAACAGACTCAAAAACGATACTTAGAAATTGTTGGCACCAAATTTAATTGATCGTATACAGATCTACAAGAAATGCATTTGTAAATAATAAAATACTTAGTATAACGCTCAGATCCAAGATCAAGATCAGACTTATACCTGCATTAAGAGATTCGGCAGCAACCTCTGATCCGCC